AAAAAAAAAAAAAAAAAAAAAAAAAAAAAAAAAAAAAAAAGAGTACCCAAGCATATCAGTTAATTCACACTAAAATGCAAAAAAAAAAAAAAAAAGTGAGAAACTTGTACAGCATCCAGCTTTACAGTCATCAGCTTTGACTAACTTTAAGGACTGCAATAAATATGACTCCAAATATCTATCAAGGAACCAGAAGTTTTCCACTTTAAAAACTAACTGTGCCAATAGTCACCAAAAGTCTTAAAAATGCACATACTCCTTGGCCTAGAAACTCTACTTTCAGGGACATATATTTTTTTTTTTTAAAATCAGTGTTGAGCACCAAGATTTTATTATTTAAAAGTAGGTTTGCCATAGTATAAATGCATAAATATCTTACATGTTTAATAAATGAAAGTCAAATTATAATGCAAACATGCAATGGATCACTATACTCCTCAGTAAAAACCACTTAAAAAAAACACTTTAAGACACACAGGGGAAAAACAGACTATAAAATACACGAATAATATGATTCTTGTGCCATAAAAAAGTGAGAAAGCAGAAGGAAAAGCGTTGGAATAATCCTTTAAAAGTTGCTGATTCACTAATTATTTAACCATGGGGGCCTGGCCCTAGCTCAGTTCTTTAAGTGGCTGCTTCCACCAAGATGTCAGCCTCAGGTGGCTCTAGTTCGATCCCCACAACTCTCCAGCCAGCCAAACAAGCCCTGAGGGCATTCGGAGCAAAAAAAAAAAAAAAAATCCTTATTACACTAATTATTTAGCCTTATAAAGCAAGTTTTTTTTTTTTTGCGGAACGGGGGATTGAACTCAGGCCCTTGCGTTTGCCAGGGAAGTGCTTATTCCACTGAGCCATCTCCCCAGTCCCCAAATAATATATCTTAACAGATTTGGAATCACTTACATAGGAATTCCTATGCGATTTGGGAAAATGTAAAGATGGATAGGACTTTGTCTGGCCTGAGAGAGGCATAAAGGCATTAGGAGCTTTGTAGGGCAGACAGAGGGAATCCTAGCAGTTACAAGGGTAAAGGAAAGGTGAAAGGTTGGCATCCAGCACAGATCTCTTCTACACTTCCATTTCTCCAGGGGTCTGGCGGCTGGGCCACCTCTGTGCTGTCTCACAGCTCAGCTGCTGACCCTCCTCATAAAACCACGTACCACCCACAGCTGAACAGGAACAGGGCCTGCTAGGCTGCTTACCTGTGGGCTCCTCTTGTGATGAAGCTATCTCACTAGTCTCTTGACAACTTTTATTCTGTTCTAATTGGCTGAGTTGAGGCATGTTTTCTATTAAAAAAAAAAAAAAAAAAAAAAAAAAAAAAAAGACCCCAAAAAAAAAGATAAATTCCCAAAAAAAAAAAAAAAAAAAAAAAAAAACCTCACAAAACAACAACAAAAGAAAATACCACTGTAAAAACTATATTAAGAAGGGCTGGACACAATGTCACATCCACGCAATCCCAGCTACTCCAAAGGCTGAGGCACAAGGATTCAAAGTTTGAGGCCAGAATGGCTAATTTAGTGAGATTTTGTCTCAAGAAAAAACAAAAAAAGTTAGGATGTTATTTAGTGGTAAAGCTTTGTCCAACATGTGAGAAGCCCTGAGTTCTATATACAGTACCACACAAATTTTTAAAATTTTAAGAAATAAAGGAGAGAGAAGCCAGGTGTGGTGGTGCATACCTGTAATCCCAGCACTGAGGCAGGAGGATCATTGTGAATTTGAGGCCAGCTTACACTACAGAGCATGACTCTGTCTCAAAAATTCAATTCCAAAACAAACCAAAAAGGGGGGGGGGGTCCTTCACTAATATCCCCAGTTTTTCAATCCTAAGGCTATTCCACAAGCTTGAAAATGATATTGCTTTTATCATTCCAAAGTTTAACCATTACCAGATAAAAGCAGACCTCCTAACAGACCATCTTTTTTTTTTTTTTTTTT